TACATTAACTAGCCACTGAAAATACTAATTAAATTATAAGTCCTTTGAAAGCAGTCACATTTTATTTGTTTTTAAATTATCTGCACGGATCATGAGCTGAGTCTCTACTGTCATTTGTAAGCTATATAATGCAGAGCAACTCACAATGCTTCCCTACACTTCATTTTCCTTGCCTACAAATTAATGAAGGTAGTAACAGTACTTAACCTCCTCAGGCAGGAATAATGATTACATCAAGTAATATATGTTAATGTGTTTAGAAAATTCCATGATATACAGTAAATATTAAATAAAAACCAAATTATTATTGTACTGTTAATGATTTCCAACTTCCTTGAACCAAAAAATATTTTTGAACAGAAATGTATTCTAAGAAAGAAAAAAAATGGATATTGAAAATCATTTTATAAAATCATCTTTAAAAAAAAGAGTAACCATCTAGAGAACTAGAAAAGTCACAGACTTCAAGAAAATATTTCCTAAACATGCATCTGATATGAGACTGTCATCTCAAACACACAAACAACTGTTAAACTCAACAATATGAGAATAAATTACATGATTTAAAAGTCTGCAAAGACCTGATCAGACACTTCAACAGATGGCAAATAAAAATCTGAAAAAAATGTTGAGCCTTACATAGCACTAGAGAATTGCAGATTAAAACAAGACACCACTGCATACCTAAGGGTTAATGTCCAAAGACAAAACCCAATGCTGGTGAGGCTTGGGCCAATGGGAGCTCCCAAGCACTGCTGGCAGCAACAACAAACCCTGGAGCGGACCTGATCTGAGTACTTTGTCTACTATATGTGTTTATCTTTTCAAAACTTTTTGTGATAAGCAAAGTCACTACTTTTAGTTAATGTGACAGTAACACAGAGGGAAGAGGAAGGAGAAAAAGTGGGACAGAAAAATTGAAGACGTGATGACCAAAAATTCCCAACTTTGGGGCTGGAGTCACAGACAGTTGTTAGCACATAAAAAAATAAAAATAATTTTTTTTAAAAATTCCCAACTTTGATGAAAAATACATACCTAAGAAGCTCAACAAGCTCCAGGCATAACAAGCTAATCGGAAAGACAAACGATAGAAACATAATTTACCTGTGAAAAACCAAAGAAAACGTGAAGATCCTTATGCAGCAAGAAAATGTAAGTGACCTAAGGTGTGGCAGAAAGGTTCAGTAAGATTACCAGCTGATTTCTCATCAGAAAGCAATGTGCCAAAATGTTACAAGGAAGACTATCAACAAAGCATTTCACAGCTAACAAAACGATTCTTTAAAATCAAAGTGAAGGGGCTGGAGAGATGGCTCAGTAGTTAAGAGCAATGAGGACTTGGGTTCGCTTCCCAGCACCCACATGGCAGCTAAAAAAACTTTTCCTTAACTCCAGTTCCAGAGAATCCAGTATCCTCTTCCAATTTCCACAGGCAGTACATGACACAGGTGCACTTACATACATGCAGGCAATGCATACACATAAAAATAATAAAATATTTAAAATCAAAGTGAATAAAAACCACTAGAGTTACTGCTAGCAGACCTTTTCTCTAAGACATTGTGATGCTGCAGAACTCAGTACCTCTAATGCTTGACTTTCAGTAATAAACATATCAAACTAATAGATCAACATGGAAACAGGACAAGGAAACAAAGACCTGGACAACAATCTGCATCAAGTCCTAACAGACATCAGTAGAATATCTATGGAAATTAAATTAGTAATCCAAAATCTTGCCACAAAGAAAGGCTCAAAACCAATAAAAAATTAGTAAGGCTTCTTTACAAACTCTTCCCAAAGTAGTGATGGAGGGAACGCTTCTCAATTCAGTCTATATGGTCTTGATACAAAAACAAAGTACATCTCAAGAAAATGACACTTATGTTTCTTTAGGTACATTAAAATCTTCAACAATACCAACAAACAGAATCAAGTGACATATTAATACACCATACCATAAGCAATTGAGTTATCCAAGAAATGAATGTTTGGATCAATATCTGAAAGTCAATGTGATATACCTCATTAACAGATGAAGAAAGGAAGTGTATGTATCTCAATGGACATTGGAAAAGCACTGGACAAAACAACACGCTTCTGTGATAAAAATATTCAACAAACCATGAATATCAGGAAATGTCTTCAGACTTACAAGGAGAATCTATTTAGGAAAAAAACAATACCATTCTTAACAGTAGAAGATGAAGGGTTTTCCCCTAATATCAAAAACAAGACATAGCTGTTGGCTCTCACTACTTCTGTTGAACGTGTCAGCAGATCTTGCCATAGCAATTGTACAAGGAAAAAAAAGTACCCAGACTGAAAATGAAAAGGTACAACAACCTGTTCTGAGATGACATAAAGCATACAGATAATCCTAAAAGCTAAGGAAGGAGTTAAGGGAATCATTTACATAACAAAGGAATTACTCAGGACCTTAGCAAAGCTTACAGTAAAGGAGGAAAGTGAACCAAGGAGCCACAATTTTATAAAGTATACACTTACGGATCAGAAAGAGGAGCAGATTTAGTCAAATGGCCTAAGTCTCAAAACAGGGGCTTAAGGGCTGGAGAGATTGCTCAGTGGTTAAAAGCACTGGCTGATCTTGCAGAGGACCTGGATTCAAATCCCCACATCCACATGGCAGCTAATAACCATCCGTAACTCCAATTCTAGGGGATCTGATGCCCTATTCTGACCTCTGAGGGCACTGCACGACACAGGTGCACTTAGACACATGCAGGCAATATACTCATACACATAAAATAAATAAAATATTTTTTTAAAAAACAGGGACTTGGAACTACGTCATTTAGAAGTGACAAGAACAAGGACAAGAGTTCTCCCCACCACCCTCAAACAGCAGATTACAGGATTATTCGAAAATAAGAATCAATACCTATAAAAGTTCAACTGGCAGAGAAATGCATTCAGGAAAGAACTACATTTTAGTCAGAATATACATGAAGAGGTCAGAGTGAGCTTGTTAGGGTCTGAGGGAAATCCACAGAGTACAGAATTTTTTTCCAAAGGGAGGTCTTTGGAAAAAAGAGGGGCAGAAGAAGATTAGGCCAGGGTCAAAGAGGAACCTGTACTATGATGAGAACTCCAGAGAGCATAGACGAGCAGTTCTGAAACCCTAGTCCTCTCAACACACCTGAGTTAAGGAGAAGGCATAATCCAGAACTATTATAACAATGGCAAGCTGAGGGTCAGAGAACAGACCAGGACTCAGAAGTTACAGAATAAAATTCTATACATGTAATACTTAAAAGAGCCCTAAGATTGGTACATTCAAGCTCTCTAATACTAAGATGCAGAAAGAAAATGACAGTTTTAAAGTTTGGCTTGGAAGAAGTTTCTTTTTGTATCATCTTGCAATTGGCTCTGTGACATCTAAAGCACCCAGCACTGACAATAGGAAGCGTTACAAAGGATGAATGAATTGGTCAACCAATAACTCAGAACATATCAGTGACCTCAGCCTATTTCCCAAAAAACTCTGCTCTGAGTAAGTCAAATCAGCAACCTCTAAGAATGCTGTGCATTTCTCTCTCTGCCTGTGCCTTCCCTGCCATGATGGATCGAGGCTCTTTGAAACTGAGTTAAAATGAACCATTCCTTTCTCAAGGTGTTCCTGTAGGTGTTATAGTCACAGTAAAGCAAAAGTACCTGATACAGCAATGTTATTACTTAGTTACGCTTCATACATTGGCCTTAAATTTGCTTTGTTATAAACATACTGCCAAAGATCAGGGAAGCATCATCATCATTATTAGTAACAAAGACTTTCTTTACATCACGTTCTTGCCCGATAATATCAACTTGCTTTAAAGTCTGCCCTACCAAAAGCCATAGTGCCTGAAATGGTAAGTTCTCAGTGGAGTCTTCCAGACTGCCTCAATTACATCCTTCTATAATCCACTGAGGAAATACTTTATTTTTCAATGGACTAGACTTTTTTTTTGCTTAAACTGAAGAACATTACTAAGAAACAGAATTAAATGATTACTACTTAGGACCTGATCAATACTAGTTCCTAAGTAGTCTTCCTCCAAGAACTCATACAAGAAAATTCTCAGCATTTTGTTTTACAAATCCAGGAGAAAGAAATCTCCATCTTATGCATACTGTGTATCCTATAAAAGGTTAAGTTCTGTTCTTGGTTTTCCTATAAAGAACCTTAGCAACAAGTTTGTTTCATATTTTAGGCAGTACAGAAAACTACATGCTTTCCTTTCACTGTTTATCTCAGTTTTATTATCTGCATTGCAGTGTACTTAAGAACCTCAAGCCACTTGTAGAATGAAATGAGATTAAAAAATAAATAATACTAATAACTGTCACTCGGTGTCTACCATAAAAGTCATAACATCAGTACCTTTTTTCCCTGATCCTTGAACACTCACAGGAAGGTCCTTTTAAGTCTGCTGTAAAGATGGTAAACTGAAGTGGGCAGAAAGCTAACCTGTGCCAGGCGAGATTCTGCCCTCAGGTTTGAATGACTGCAGAGCCCCCTTAAGCTATATGGTCTGATCCAATTAAAGACTAGTCTACATTTTGAAAAGGAAAAGATTTCTAGTATCCTATGATATCTTTTAAAAGTACTTATGGAATTAATTTTTTTTAACTTACAAGCAACAGAAGAGCAATCACTTGGTGGTAATTTTGTACAACACATTTTTAAAAATTATTCAGTTAACAAAGTCAACATTCACTAATTCCCAAATGTGAACCCCTCCCAAAAATATCACAACTTAAAAGTCCACATCACAGAGGTAAATGTATTATGTGTATCGACGATAAAACTACTGAAAAAATTTTCATCCAAAAAGAAAGATTAGGAATTATTCTAATTAGTACCATATATAACTTGAAATGCTTTTTTGGCCTCTCAAAACAAAAACAAAAATGGACATAATCAGTTTGGGAACATAATTTTTAATCAAATTAGCCAGAGGACAGAATGAAACCCAGGTTGAAAGAGCACTCACCTGCTCAAGTCACTTTTCCCATGGTGATGGTAGTGATCGGGATGGCTAAGGTGGTAATGCTCCTGTCCACTCCACCTCTGTGGTGGCCTTTTCCAAAATCCTTCCTGAGACTGCCGTGCATTTCTGTCTGCTCGGTCAAATCGGTTCATATTGTCACACTCCACTAGACAGATTAAAAAGTAACAGACTATAAACGTGTACTCTATAAAGTCAACTATTTATGGCTTGATAATTAAATAATGCTGAAAATACTTTTTAAAAATTATAAAAGCCAAAAAAATTATGAAAACACCAGCCATGTATGCTAGCTAGTCACAGATTGTTTTCTAAAAGAAAACCAGTTCTTATAGTGAAATCTGAATGTTTTTGTATTCAGACTAAAGTATATTATAATTCTTTTATATCACAGTCACCTTTACATGATCAATTAACTGTTGCACTGGTATAAAATGATCAAGAACGTTCCTGAAATCAACATTACACATTTCAAATAAAAGCAATGTTTTAAGAGGTATTTGCAACTACAAACTGACTCAGATTTATTGAAAGACTAGGAAAAAGTAAATGTTAAGACTAAGGGAGAGCTCATTCCTAAAAATGAATGCCACAATTAATTTCCCCAGACCTCAGAAAACAGAAATTAACTTTTCATAATAGGTGGTTTTTTAAAAATTAAATAAATAAAGCTCAGATTTTTAAGAAATGTGCTGCTTCAATCTGCCTTCAATCCAGCTTGTTCAAAAAGACAGAAATGCTACTGATTACAAAGCCAGTACTTTGCAACAACAAATAGTTCACTCCCTAAAATCCAAATACCACAAAAACACAAAAAGAATCTTAGTACCCAGGTTTCTTCACTCACCCAAATGCTCCGCTCTCACATATCTGGGCCCTCTTTGAGAGAAGTACTCTATACAAGGGAAACATTGTGCCACTGACTGCCTACTCGGACATAGCTGCACACAAGGCACTGCTAAATAGGCCTTCCTTCCTGCCCCACTCCCAGCCCTCTCTGTGGGAAGCAAGCCCAGTCTGCCCTGTGACTCCATCCTCTCTCAGTGCTTACATAGTTACTGAGTTAGGACTGTTACTAAAAATACTGCTAAACACTAACCGGAGCTGCAGCACAGGAAGAGATACTCCTGGACAAGAACAATATGAGAAAGTTCAAATCTTGATTCAGAATTTCTGAATAAAAAAACTTTATATATCAATATAATTCTTGATTTAAAAAAATCCACTTATTTTAAGTGACTGTAACCCTTAAAAACTTTAAAGTATGCTAATTATCTCATTTCCTAGAAGATGAAAATAAGTTCCCCATTTAAAAAGGGAGTATGTAATAAAATAAAAGTATACAACAACTTAAACACACTTTTGTAAGAACAGTGACGCTCTGCTTGAATTCATGAGGAATTGCTGAATGTGAATATATAGAGTTTTCTCTTATTGTACAGATATATTTTTTAAATATTTTATTTATTACTTTTATTTTATGTGTATGAGTGTATTGCCTGCATGTATGTGAGTGCACCCGTGTTGTGCAATGCCGCTGAGGTCAGAAGAGGGCTTCAGATTCCCCTGGAACTGGAGTTAAGGATGGTTCATAGCCGCCATGTGGGTGCTGGGAATCAAACCTGGGTCCTCTGCAAGAGCAGTCAGTGCTCTTAACCACTGAGCCATCTCTCCAGCCCCTGTACAGATATTTTTTAAAAGAAGTATAACATTTGAAACTACTTCTAATAATTTGTCACTTTATTGGTATGATTTTAAGTTGATTTATGAGTAACAACATAATCAATGTATGGTGACCACTATGTTGAATACAATCAGAAAATGATAAAGCAAAAGATAAGTTTAAAGCTGACTTTAGATTAGTCTCTTTAGTAACATCACTTGCAAACTCACGTTTGCATTATGCTCAGAGATTCACTGAGTCTCATAAAGCATTTCCACTTAACATTAAGATGTTCCTTCAGTTTAAGCAACTGTATACAGCTGGTAATATACATCTACTTTTAAGTATTTGCATTTATATTTTTCCTTAATTTAGGCAGAAAGATTTTCACTCCTACAGCAAGAAATTTTGATACCAGAATCTCTTGATATTCTTAGAATGATAACACAGTGCACGCAGAGTAACAAGAAGCAAACAAGCCAGGAGAGCAAGTAAGGCAATGGGCTAAGTATCAGGAGCAGTTGCAGTACAGAGATGTGCTTACTTCTGTGTCTGCTAAAAGGCTGTTAGTACCACGTATAGACTAGAAACTAGGATCTTACTGAAACCTGAACGCACTCACAATGCAAGTTAGCAGTAGAAACAAACATTTGCCACCAGTACTTCTAAAGACTGCTCTGACTGGAGGGAATGCAGCCTCTACTCCTTCCACATGCATCCATCCATCCATCCTCATTTACATACATGCCTTAAAATCTGGCTAAGAAGGTAATGTAAAAATAAGAATAGTGGTAGTTTCTTAGAAAAGATTAAGAATAAAATAAGCAATATAGAAAAGAAAATAGAAAACAAAACCACAAGAGGAAGATAAATCAAGACTACTTTCTAGGGCCTTACAAAGAGCAGCACAGTACAACTAATGAAGAAAAAGTCCTCCTGACTCATAATCCCATAAAGTCAATGGTGCGTGTGGTAAACTACAGAGAAAGAATAACAAAGCTATCCCAACTCAAAATATGTTGAAGACAGCCTGCGGATCCAGAACCCCTGCGGGCTACAGAACCAGACTCTGGCATGAAGAGCTCTTCCGGAGAATACTTCCCCTTCCTTCTGAAGGCTGTCTCTAGTTCCAACAGTAAAACACGGCAGACTTCAGTTCTTCCACTATGTCAGGGCTTTCACCCTCTGGAAAGGGAAAGGGATATAGCACAGCTAACAGAGGCATGTGACACGAGGAGGTCTGTGTCCGATACTCGTAACAACCCTTTTTCCTGGTTTGATAAGGAAACAAAATGATACCCAATTTTTCTTACAACTTTCATGTCATAAGAAAGATAAAGGGGGGCTAGAGGGATGGCTCAGCAGCTAAGAGCACTGGCTGCTCTTCCAGAAGACCCAGGTTTGATTGCCAGCACCCACATGGCAGCTAACCACCATTCTAACTCTAGTTCCAGGGGATTCAATGCCCTCTTCTGGCTTCCGAGGGCACTGCAGAACACTGGTGCACATATACAATCAGGCAATATACTCATATACATAAAATAAAAATAATAAAACTTCTTTTTTCAAAGAAAGATAACAGATGACACAGTAAGATGTTTTTTGGCTGAGAGGGCAACCTTGACTTACAAAACTTCAGGAGACAGTGCTTTTTGCAGGAAGCTTTAAAACCTTACCAAGAAAATTTTCTCAGCTGGGCACAGTAGTGCACACCTTTAATCCCAGCACTTGGGAGGCAGAAGCAGGTGGATCTCAGTAAGTTCAAGGCCAGCCTGGTCTACACAGTGAGTTCCAGGCCAAAGCTGGGGCTACAGAGAGACCCAGTCTCAAAAAGACCAAAAATAAAAAAAAGTTTTCAAATATGAATAGGCTGGGTGTAGTGGCGCATGCCTTTAATACTGGTACTTAGATAGAGGTAGACAGATCTCTAAAGTCCCGCTTAGTCTACATAGTGAGTTTGAGGACAGCTAAGAGCTAAACAGTGATAACCTGTCTTAAAAAAAAAGAGGGGTGGGGCCTTCATTTCAGATGCAATCTGATTTTAAAAAAAGAAAAATTTGTGTAAATAAGGAAAATCATAAATAAGCCTTATTACTTAATACTGAATTAGTACTGACATAGAAAAATAATTTTAAAATAAAAACAGTACTTGGAGGTAGTCAAGAACATGACTAGCTTCATTTATCCAACAGAAAGTGTAACAACAGTGTGGCCTTATGTTAAGGTTCAGATAGCCCCACCCCGGCACCAACAGGGTCTCACATAATTCTCAAGCTCCTGAGAAAAGGGAACTGAGTTGATAAGCACCTTGGTCCCAAAGTTAAGAGAAGCAGAAGTTTCTCCACTGTTTGGCCAACACAGCAGGCTTCCCCTTTGATCTCTAAAGAGAGCAGGTTTTAACAGTCCTGCTCTCACACCCCTCAACCCCCACCCAGCTTTAAAAAAGTACATCTTCCTGCCTTCTGCAGGAAGCAGAACCCTCCCCCTTTAAAAGACCCCAGCTCACTACTTGGGGTAGACATTTTTTTCCCTGCCTGGAAGGGAATCTGTCCCATGTGTTCCTTTGCTAGTAAACTCTATTCCAATGGAGTTTTATCTGTGTCTTGGTGTTTTCTCCAGATCAACCAGATTCATCCATAGGCTACTTTTTACCTATCACCTTATGGACTGCCACATGAAGTAAGTATAATTTTACTGGCAATGGAAGTGGTTACTGATAAAATGATTAACAGTACACACAGAAGACATCACTGGAGGGAATTCATGAACTTAAGGCATATACTCTGATGTGCCACATGTCAGGCATTTGTCTGGGCAATGAGCTGGCCATTAGAATTTCCTAAACAAGAGAGAAAAGGGAATAAATCTGGGCTTCAAACCTAACAAAAATATTGAGAAACACCTTAGAACGAAAAGGAAATTTCAAACATCTAACAGCCTTCCAAAAAAATTCAGATTGCAAAATTGTTTCCCTCTGAAATTTCTTGGTCTACTAATTCAGGTCAAGGGAGAAAAAAAAAAGAACAGCTTGAAAAACAAAAGCAATGCCTCATTAAGTCAGATCATTCCAAATCACAACTCCAAGTCCATACTTCCTGATCACCTTCTGACTTGCTGCCGTTCCTCCTAACCCAGCCAAAAGCCTCAGTAGTGCCATGCCTGGTAAAACTAAACACACTCAGAGTAGGGGAAACTGTGTAAGGATGATTTTACAATCTGGTGTTATTCTGAGCTCTGAAGTGTGGCCAAATACTTTATAAGATCTAAATAACATTGGGAGAAATCTCTAGGGAAGTTTTGAATAGTTTTGGGGAATCAGTAATCTAGTGCTCTCAGAACTATATCAACGAACTAGTTCATACAGTAGAGAGAACTCTAGATGTAACCACAAGGAAAGCAATGTCAAGAGTGTGAAACTATGAGGAAGGGTACAGGAAGGCAGAGCAGTTTCGAAAGGGATTTTCTTAGGCTGCCGATTAAGGTTT